GAAGAGAGTTGCACTCAGAATTGAAAATAAAATACTTGAAGTATAAGCCGGATAGAAGATAAAACAACCCTAAGGGCCACTCTGGCTGCCACAAAAAATGTAAGAAAACACCTCTATTTGCAATTTTGACAATTTTTCAAATGAGATGTTTTGTGTGTTTGGCTATTGTGCTTTCGAGTGAAATTTCGTGTTGTGGCGTGGTTTCTCGTTGGAATTTAAATCGATTTGATTGGCTACTTCAGATGAGCTCAAAATTATTAGCCAATCGTGGTAAAGCAGTTCAACCGCTTCACTATACAAATGCCACCACTCAATGCTATACCGGTTTATTGTGGATATGTGATCATCGAGTGAGAAGCACTTGTACCCAATGTATTGTGAAAGCTTGGCCATCGACAGGACCAAGTACTCTTTCCGTCCGGGAGACTACATGGCATTTACAATAGTGTTTTATGCTACATGAGGCTAAATCGTTTTACTTATGTACTGTGCTTCACAGTCAATCTGAGCAGCTACATCCCCAAGAGTCCCAATTGTTTGTGTCACTGTATTTCCAGTACGAATTTGGCAATGATTCCACAGTATTTTCACAATATGTCTTTGGTATTGATAATATTTCTTGTATTGATCAATACAGGCAATATATGGGTTATTGTGGACTGATAATAATATCTACTTCGAAGTATATTGTACTACGTAGTACTACCTAGTAACTTAGTATTGGATTGTACTACCTAGTAACTTAGTATTGGATTGTTCATATATTAATAGTATATTAATTGTACGTATTGCAATATTTTATAATATATATATATTATTGATAATCCCTGCCTCCGGGTAACCTTAATGTGAGTGAATAACGTTATTCGAGCGAACGTCGACAAGCAGTGCTGCGCGTGAGGGCGGAATTCTCTTGTCAATATTCATCTCTTGTCGGAATGCAGCATACTTAGCGTTACACATTCGGGTTGGTGTATAATGGAGTTGGTGTATAATTGATTGGTCTAGACAAGGATGCCGAATTTGGTGGTCCGCGTGGACACCAGGTCCCGTTGAATGTCGTCCAGCTCAAATGCTTCCCACATTGTACTAAGGCGGAACATCTTTTGTTCCTTGGTGTTGGCATGTCCGTCTGCGATGATCACTTCATCGAGGGCTTGCTCGACGGTGGCTACGGACGTCCGCGGGTCGGTGCATTTTTCGGCGCCGTCCAAGTACGACAGCGCCATGGCGGTGGTGGATTCATGCTCCGTGGTGGTTTCCGACGTCGACCGTAGCAAGAACGCGGCTTTGTCTTGCTTGAGGCTGCGATACTGTAACTGCACGAGACTCGTGTCGTTGGTAGCGACAGTGCTCGACGAGTGATCGGACCGGCAGGTGAGGAACACGGGGTCGGCTGAATATTCGTCCATGGACACGGCATCGGCTATTCTGTGTGTGGTGCGGCGGTGGACTTCGTAGTCGTTCATGTCTTGGACGGAATCTGTGGTTGAGCAGTCGGACGTGGCTTCGGGTTTGGTTTTCGACTTATTGGCAGCTTGGGACTTGGAGGAGGGCGAGATGTGATGAGCTGTCCGCGAAGCATGTGGTGTGGGAGGGAGGTGGGTGGACTGGCGGGAGATGTATTGAGCGCCGCGGTTGAAGAACGGCCACACGAGGTTCATGGTGCCGATGCCGCACGTGACGCATTTGGGGGCCGTCGAGAACGTGCGCGCGATGACAATCTCCACGAACGTCTGGAGGTCCTTGGTCCGCTGCCGCACAAGTTTGTTCGTACGGAAGAACGCCTTGGGGGGGAACGGAAACGCACCGACCGCGCGCGTCATGCTCTGGCACCCTGGACATGTCGGCGATCGCTGCAGGAACTGGAGGATCTGTTTGCGGAGTTCGAGGAACTGAGAGTACCGTCGGTTGACTGACCATTCGGCGCTGCCACCCCCGTGTGGGGTCTCGTCGACTTTGACGCAGATGCAATACAATGTGTGGGACGGTCGCTTGAGTGCCGCGGGAATGAACACGACGATGCCGTCGGATGATGTGTTGTCGGCACCACTGGTGATCACGCCAGACCGGGACAAATTGGACCTGTCGACAGGGGCCATGGTGGACGAGGAGATATGGGGCATAAATAGTAATAGTGGGTGGGGCAGCTGGAACTGCGGCGCAAGGACCGCGGCACGACAGCTTCCCTTGGTGGAAGTTGGAGTGAGATGGAGTAATTGTGTTACGACACTTTTGGGACCATGTCACTGTATCCACATGCTATAGACCATCAGAAAGGCCACTGATTGGCCTGCAAAAAACGTATTTAACGTATTAGGAGATAGGTATTTTTTACTTCGAAGTAAGATTATAACGTTAATACGTTAGCGTGATTTTCCAATGGGAATTTTCCAATGGAATGATATAATAATTCTATTGGAATATTCAAGTGGCCGCGAGTCTTTGCAAATCACATTAGCCAACTCCACTCCTTGGAACACGCTCTATTGCGCCAGGGTCATTTGAGTGCTGCACGCATTATCGTCGAGTGTGGGAGTAGTGAAAACCTTCTTTATGAGAACTACATCAATTCGATGGGATGGCTTCGCTTGTTGTTTTGACATCGAATGGTGAGTGTGTAAAGGTTTGTCCAGTCAAAAATCTGACCTAAGATGTTTTGGCTGAAATTTCCAGTGGGTGCACCGAAATGTCTCACTGAATCATTTCATTGGAATCTTCCCATTCTCAAAATCACTACGAAGTACAGCTGTACTTACTACTGATTGACACTCCTCACAGTGTAATTAGAATAACGTTAGGAACATCGCACGGCAACTGGAAATACTGTAACATTAAGCATGATTACATTTGATACTGCTGGCTCGAATTCACAGTCAATGCTGGTTGTACAGTACGAAGATACGAACGCACGTCCTTATCGCAGCACCCGTTGGAAAGCAACCATCTTGATTTTATGTTGAAATGGAATTTCAGGTACTATTATTGGAACCTGATCACATCTGAACCATGTTTGAAAAATATATCTCGCGCTATCAGTAAATGACAAAACGTATAGAACACGTTTCACTGTACTGTAGGTTGTGCAATGTGACTTTGTGTTAACTGCGTTGCGAAAGTCCACGAGAACCCTTACATTATATATGAACGACATGGCTCGGTATGTACACCTAAGACATGACTGCATGATTGTTCGGGCATGGTACATGCATATTAATTAGTACATACTAGCCCCTATTTTGCCTGTACTGTAAATGTCTCAGAGCTATGTCCATACCGTAGGTGATATTTTTATACTACTGACAGTGAATCGACAGGTGCTCAGGTGGTGTGACGTACGTATTACATACTCGTACAATGTACATTTTAACTTGGGTATTATATTTAAAGTAAAGTACATTTCGTACAACTCCGTACAATGCTGACCAGTTTCATCATACGACAAATCCAGCGCTTTGAAGTACATAGTACTGCATTTGTTCAAAAATTCAGCCTGACGCCAGTCAGCTGTCCTATCTCGCACATTTATTCACAGGTTTACTGCACTGAGGTAATTACAAACTCAAGGAAATGTTGGTGGGACATACCATCACTGAAACTGTGACTGATTCGAGGAAGCGGCAGTCCCTTTGGCAAGAAGGGAAGTTGATGTCATAGAGCATGCATAGTACGAATCGAATAGTTCATACAAATGTCAAGTTCAATGCAAATCAAAGTATCGAAGTCAACACGTTTCACTTGGAAATCAGCAATGTAGCACAGAATCGATCCCAAGAAGACCTGCGTACTGTAGTGTGCCCGGTGCCGTCGTGCAAAACCACGTGGATCACTTTATCCAATAAGAGGTCTACGCACTACGGCACCACTGTTGAGAATATCGGCCCCCTCATACACGAGGCAAATCACCACTACCAAAGGTTGTAGTGGTCATACCGAAGAAGAACAACAAGGGCTAGTAGAGCCATACTAGCGGTTCCATAACATGTGGTTCTAGTGTCGGCCCTCCGAGAATGTCTTAAAAATGATAATCCAAACTCAATTAACCATTTTACCTCCGGACGGAAATAGACCTAAGGGCTCCTCTGGATACCACCTCATAAAAATATGCTATAATTCGAAATGGAATAAAAACATTTTCGTACCAAATTTCAATAAAAATATCCGATCAAAATATTGTCGCTTGTCTGGATGGCAGTTTCACACCATCATATCAGACGAATTTCAAAACCACTCCCAACGATGAAGCAGGTGGCCTGCTTGCTGATCCTCCGACGTCGAGCTCAGCGTCGACGACAGCTTGCCATGCTCGCGTACATGGCGTACCACTACGCAGCATACCTACTCAAGAGCCCCAAACGAGTCTCTGCCCTGACCGGAGCTATGTGGGTCGAAGAAATGCTCGTCGGAAACGCGGACGCATTCATCGAGATGTTTCGAATGCCGCGGCCATCGTTCATCGCGCTACTTGAAGAACTCATGCGAAACGGAGATCTCAAAGCCACCCGTGCTGTGACCTGCCAAGAACAGCTTTGCTTGTTTCTCTACTTCGTCGGACACAAGCCGTCAAGCACCAACATGCAACAGCGATTTCAGCACTCTGGTGAAACCATTTCAAGACATCTCCGTCGGGTTGTTGCGTCTTTGCTGGCCATTGCCCCACGTCACATTTTCCTCCCACCAAGCATCGGACCAACACCAGTTGAAATCGCTACCAACAGTAAGTTGTCTCCATACTTCGACGACTGTCGAATGGCGATCGATGGGACACATGTTCCGGTGTGGGTCAAGGCAGGCGAATCCGCTCCATACCACGGAAGAAAAGGAGTGACAATGAACGTGCTTGCTGCATGCGACTTCGACATGCACTTTACCTATGTCCTTGCCGGATGGGAAGGTTCAGCTGGTGACGGAAGGGTGTACACCGATGCACTCTTACGAGGGCTAGTACTGTCGCCAACGAAGTTTGATATTCTCGACGCTGGATTTGCGCTGACCAAGAAATGCCTCACGCCGTATCGATCAACACGGTACCACTTGAAGGAGTACGGACAAGGAAGATTGAAGCCCCAAACCAAGGAAGAACTTTTTAACCTACGCCACGCCCAACTCCGCAACTGCATCGAACGGATTTTTGGCATCCTGAAGATGCGATTTCCCGTTTTGAGCTGTGGTGTCCGCTACGACTACTCGTTTCAAGTCAGTTTGGTGATGGCGTTGTGTGTCGTGCACAACTTCATTCGTCGATGGGGTGTGCGACAGGATCGCTTTGAACAAGATGCTGACATCCTGCGGCGTCAACAACAGCAGGAAGCGGTGTCAGACCAAAACGATCCCGCAGATCATGTTGAAGACGCCGACAGTGATGAAGCAAAATTGTGGCGAGACTCAATTGCTGGTACAATGTGGGTGAATTACCAGAACCTTCTCAATGAGCGACGCCGGCGACGAAGCTGAATTGAAAATGCATTACCATAGACGTCATTAAACTAATCAATCTGAGATATTTGGCGTCGAATCCAAGCTTCACGCACAGGGCCATTCATGTGGAGGAACATAAGCGCTTTTGTCTCATTCTCCATGACTTCGAATGCCTTGACCAACTCATCAACGCTGAGCATGTCTTCAAAGTCCGCCTGAAGCACTTCAATTGCTCTTGCACAATGCGGTACGTTGGATGCTTGTACCGGTGGGCCGAGTGCACGTGCGAGTAGTTCCATCTCCTTGGCGTTTTGGTCGGCAATAGCACGAAAGTCTTGAGATAACTGCGATGCCATTGTTGAACGACGGCGCTTTGACGGCACAGAATCTTCGTCATTGGCACTAATGCGACTTCGCGTGGCATTTTCGAGTGAATCATCCCTTGCACCATCCCTTGCGTCGTCCCTTGAGTCGTCCCTTTGGCGTTGTGAAGCGTCTTCATCACTTGGGCTTCGACGCCATCCTTCGGGCGCGTATTGCAGCTCGCTGTCGCCACCAGTCGACAACTCATGTTCTGAGCGTGCGTCGTCGTCGTCATCCAGAAAAGCTTGCGGTTCTTCGGCTGTGGATGCGAGAACATTCCGTCCTCGAGCAAGCGTTGATCCGAAGAGTCTTTCGCAGAGGTAAAACTGGGGAAATCGCTTGTTCTTCCAGCTGCCCCAAGACTTTGGTTTGCCTTGCATGAACTCTTCCCATGTTGTTGATTGACACTCAACGCGGCAGGTATCGGCTTCCCACCCCATTCCGCTCGAATCGACAATCTTGGACAAGACGGCAAATGCTCCCTTGATCACGTCATGTCTTGACTTCAGCTGCGACGTTGTGAGTGAGAGCTGGTGCTGTGTGTTGAGCGTCTTGAGGGCTGCAGACCACGCTTCTTTCTTGTAGCCACTTCTCGCTCGCTTCCCCAGGACTGAACACTGGTATTCAAGCTCCTTCAACCAGGTGAGGTCGAGCTCGTCGTTCCAAATGCCCATTCTTGCTCTGGAGGCCAATTTCAGAAAGGGCGGGGATGTACCGTCTGCACATCAAGAATATGGTCAAAATAGGTCCATTTTTTTGTGCCATAAAAGGGTGATTTTATTGAACTTTTTTTTCAATATCTGGATGGTACATTTGGCATCCAGACGTTTGCATTGTTGAAGATTGACTATTATGCAATATTCCTGAAAAAATGGAACAAATGGGTCATTTTATGCCATAATTCGTGGCATCCAGACGAGCCCTAACATTTCAAAATTGTTGAACGACAGAAATAGACCTAACATTTCAAAGACCCCAGAAATTTAATAAATCAATATCCATAAGCATAATCAAAGCTATATAATTAAATAAACAAACA